GCTGGATGGAGCGTGGCTGGCCACCAGTCTGTCCCCACCCTCTAGGACACGCTCTGTGCCCGACTCCCTGAGGAGTACAGGCCCAGAGAGGGCAGCCCAAGGGGGCAGAGCAGAGCCTGGCCCACTCGCGCCCCGTCCCCCTCTGGCCCTCCTCACGGCCCAGCTGGACGATACAGGGGGGCCAGGCCCCCGCCCACCAAACGCTCATCTCCCCCGCTGCGTGCCCTGTGGGGTGGGGGGGGGCCCTACAGGAGGAAAAGGGCACATCCTGGTGACAGGGTGTCTCCCTCCCTGGCTGCTGCCCTGCCCCCCGGACCCTCAGCTCTCCCCCAGGCTTGTCTGGGGCCAGGCCCAGGCCTTGCTGACCCGGCCAAAGGACCCTCCGGCTCCACTGCCGTGGTGCAGACCCCTCGGGCCAGCCAGGGCTCCTGTGTCCCCCGGCCCGGAGCACAGCCACCTTGAGGTCTTGCCTGGGAGGGTGGGCTCAAAGGAGGCAGCTCACACTGCCTGATAAAATAAAATAGTTGGGGAGGAGACACCCAGACGTGCGGGGGCGTGCCGCTTCTCAGACTAGACATTTAAATCATCTCCAGCATACGTGAGTGGGCCCGTCCCTCCCTCCTGGAGGCCCCGGCCTCCTTCCCCTTCTCCACCTGAGCACTGTCTGAGCGCCTACTGCACGCTGAGCTGGGACCCCCGTGCAGTGTGGGGGAGGCTGGGGGGGGGGCTGAGAACCCTGTGTGTCCCGCTGTTACTGACCATTCTGAGTAAAGTGGACACGGGGAGGGTCCACTGGAAGGTCCTTCAAGAAGGCAAAGAAGCTTCGGAGGAGGAAAGGGCTGGAAGCAGACAAGCGGGGAGGGCAGATGCTGGTTTGCCCCACGAAGGGCAAGCGAACATGGTGTGTGTCCCTTCTGGGGCGGGCCTGCGGCTCCGCAGGAGTCCATGCGGGCACACGTGCGTGTGTGCGTGTGTGTGTGTGTGCGCGCGTGTGTGCGTGTGCGTGTTTGTGTGTGTGTGCGCTCGTGCTGGGAAGGCTGTGGGTGTAATTTGTGGATTTTATTGGAAGATTAAATTGATTTCCCAGCCTTCCCTGGGGGAGAGGTGAAGATGCCGCTGTCACTGCTCCCTTGTTGCTGCCGCGTTAGGACAAGATCAACCTCGGCCATAAAAACAAAATGAAGCCAGAGCTCCCCGGCTTCTGACCGTAAGGGCGCTCCTTCCTTGGAGCCATGGCCGCCAGTGTCCCGCGGCCGGCCGCCGTCCTCCGTGGGGCTTGGGGCAGGAAGGAGCCAGGGGCTGGGGGCCGCCTTCCGACAGCTGGGGGCCTGAGGCAGGGGGCCGGGCGAGGCCCATCTGAGGCCTCCATTTCCTGGCGCTGCTGGGCCAGGCGTCCTGGGCGGCGGTTCCGCCGCAGGGCAGCGGCCGAGGCGAGGAGGGCCCCGGGCGCCTCTCCCCTGGGGGTCGTGTGGGGTCGAGGGTGCTGTGCTCTCTCCTCGCCTCAGGAGCTGGCCCTGCCCGTCCCGTCTGCTGGGCGCGTCTGCACGCCAGGCTCTGCGGCTGGAGGTGTCGGTGCTGCCTGGTAAGGCTGAGCCCTGGAAGGCTGGACGGCCAGGCCAGACGCCGGCTCCGTGTCACCTCCTGGAGCTGGCTTGGTGGCCCGGGCCCTGTGCCCACCCCCACTCGAGCGCCTGGTCCCAGCTGGTGCAGGGGCAGAGCCGGACAGGCCCGGACGTCCCCTCCCTGGAGCACACAGTGTGCAGGCGAATACGCGTGGTCCTGTCAGCAGCCACGGGGCAGCGTGAGGAGCCTTGAAGGAATCCCCCAGGGTCACGGGACAGGACCTGGAGAGGGGAGCACAGGGGAGGGCCCCTCTGGGTGCAGGGTGGGCGTGAGGATGGAGGGGCCTGGGGACCCCCTCTGCGACGGAGCCCTCCTGCCCCTTCCTGACCTGGGTAGCTGGCCCCCAGCTGTCCTGGCCTGGGGGTGCAGGGGGTCCCAGTGCAGGGCAGGCCTCCCGGGTGGGCCTGTCATTCAGGGTGGGACAGGTACGAGGGCCTGGAGGCCAGGTGTGCTGCTTCCTCCCACCTGAGCCCCTCAGGGCTGGGCCAGGGCGGCGGACTGGGCACCTGCAGCAGGTGTCCAGGCTCGAGCAGGGAGGCCCCTGACCGAGGGCGTCGACCACAGTTGGGGTCTGGGGCCTTGTGAGGAATGGCAGCCCCCCACCCCGGGGAGGGGTGTGTGGGTCCCAGGCAATGGGGGGAGCACACCAGGTTACCTGCCTTTGTGGGGGTGGGGTGAACCTGGCCCAGGTGTGAAGGGCACTCCAGGGCCCCATCTGTGGCCCCCGTTATGGGGCCAGGTGGGGCGCTAGGCCCTGCTCCCTCCAGGGGTCACCCAAGTCTGCTCTCAGGCAGCCCCCTGGGGGGCTGTTTCTCAGGCCTTGGGACCTGGGCCCCGAGTGTGACTCTGAGGGAGTGGGGGTCCCAGCTGGTGTTGCTGGCCTGGCACCTTTGGGGGGCTGCTGGGGGTGCGAGGCAGGGGTCCCACACCTCCTGGTTTGGGGGCTGAGCCATGTGGGCTTGGGGCCCGTAGGGGGTCGCCTCCGGCTTGGCGATTACCGGGGGCGTGGCCTCTGCACCCAGGGTGACACAGCCACCCCTGGGAGGGGTGCTCCCCGCCGGCGTCCTGCAGCCCTGGGGCATCCCCGTCTCGCACAGCAGCTGTGGTTCTGCGCCCCCCTGACTCCTGGAGCATCAGAGGAGGAGTGGGGGTCCCCTGGGCAGCGGCCTCGCCAGCAGAGCCCTGCTGAGGCAGATTAGCCGGACCTCATCTGCCTGGTCAGTGGAGGATTATGGCCTGGGGCAGCCGTGGAGACTCAGGGAGCCTGGGATGCTGGGGCCGGGCCCCCTCCCAGAGCCCCTGCCCAGGAGGATGGGGGCACCGAAGCCCCCCGGGGTGGCGGCGGGAGACCCTTGATCAACCAGTGGCTGAGAGCCCAAGGGCGTGGCCTGGGGGGAGAGCTTGGGATGGGGGAGCTTTGCGGGGGGGGGAGGCGAGGGTACCTCCAGACTGGAGCCAGCTCTGGGGAGGGGAGAGGAGGAGGGACAGGTGTGAGCTGGGTTCGAGGAGACGCAGGCTCTGGGGCGCGAGTGTGTGGTCCAGGGCCACGGAGGGGATGAGGGCGGTGACCACAAGCAGGGTCAGCAGGAAGGAGGGGTGGGTATCACACGGGGCCCAGGGCACCGAGCGTGTGGGTCACTGGGCCTCTGCCGGGGCTACCCCGGCCTTGCTCTGGCCTGATGCTCCCGGGGCTTTCTGGTTCCCCTTCCCCCCCGCCCGTCACAGGGGCTCCGGCAGCCTGTGTCTTCCTGAGGACGCCCAGGACGGAGTCCCCTTTCCAGTTCCGCGCAGAGCCACCTCCTGCAGGGACGGAGCCGGTGCCTCCTGGGCAAAGTTCCTAACTGGGTTTGGGTACTTGATTCTGAGTTGATGACGGGACCCTGGTTCTTGTGCTCAGCCCAGGTGACCCGTCCTGTCTCCCCAGAGCCTGCGCCACCTACCCTCCCTGACCCTGGACCCAAGGGAGTGTCCCGGGCTGCCCGGTCTCTGGTGCCCTCTGGCCCTGGCTCTGTGGCCTGGCCTGGGCTCCGCCCCTCTGGCTGGGGAGGGAAGGCGGACGGGCCCCGGCACAGCCCAGGAGCAGTGGGGTTTAGGGCAGTGAGGACTGAGGGGTGCAGACCCAGCACTGCCGCAGGCGGCCTGGGACACGGGTTCATGCTGTCCCTGCGGTGCCTGGGCAGGGGGCACAGGGTGGGCTGGGGGCCCAGCGGCAGGAGGAACGTGAGGTCTTCGGGGCAAGACCCCAGTCCTCCCCGCTGCCGTGACTGGGGTGGGGTTCTGCCCCCCGGCCTGTGCCCCCTTGTCTACCAGGCTGGCCTGCCCTGGGAGCCTCCGACGCCCGGCAGCCCCTGGCCCAGAAGAGGAGGGGGTGCCGCCCACTCTGCCTCTGCTGGTTGCCCCTCGTCTGGGCCTTAGCTGGGTGGCCTTGACTGGGCCTTGTGTCCGGTCAGCAGGCAGCAGGCGAGTCTTCCCTAGGCCCGGCCCTCCTCCCCCAGGACAGGTCGGTCATGAGCAGGGCAGCTGGCCCAGGCCAGCCCAGCCTCTGGGGGCAGAATGCTGTGAGGAATGTGCCCCCTCCGCTGGGAAAGGTCAGTCTTGAGGGCTGGTCCTTGGGGACTGCAGCTGCATGCCAGGGGCCTGGAGCTGGGTGACGGAGGCAAGGAGGGCTAGACCCAGGCTTGGGGACCTGCATCCTTCAGCCAGTGCTGGGAGTCGCAGCACAAGGGGCCCAGTAGGCCCCGGGTCGCCCGTGGGCCAAACAGGCCCGGCCAGGCAGTACCGCCCGGCTTGGCTGTAGGGCGCCAGCCCGCAGGGAGCTGGGTGCCGGGGGGCAGGGTACTACTGCTTCCGTCCCACCTCCAGGCCCACTGGGACCTCAGGAATCCACTCGGAGTTCCCCTGGAGTACGAGAGCTGTGGGGTGGGATCAGGGCCTCCTCCTGGGGCCCAGGCTGGGATGGAGCAGAGCATCCAGCCTGCGGAGGGGGGTAGGGAGACCTCCCGGTAGGGCCTGAGAGTGCGCCCCGGTGGGGGTCCCGTGAGGACCACCCCAGGCCTTACAGCTGTGGTCTTCAGGTCCCCAGGGAGACCACCTGTCTCTCCTGCCTGTCGTTACTCAGCTGGAGCGTGGGGGCTGGTGGCCTAGGGCCTTGGCCGACACTGCCACCTGCCTGGTCCCCTCCCGGTCCCCGGCTGGGAGTTCCCTTGGCCTAAATCCTCTGCCAGCTGGGCTGGATCCAGGCGTGGATTAGCGCGGGGATTGGGCAGAGGGTGGGTGGGGCAGGCAGAGGCCCTGCAGCTTCCCCACCTCAGGCCCTGGGGCGTTGCTTCTCCTGGGACCCCTTTGTGGCCCTGGTGGCGGGTGGGCTGGCTCGGGGGCCATCGGGGACAGCAGGTGAGAGGCCAGTGCCAGAGGCGCCTGGGAGCAGCCCTGCGGGGGGCCTCGGTGGGCAGTGAGGGGGAGGAAGAAGCCGAGGAGAGAAGGGGGCCCCGTGGAACCCCCGGGCTGCCTGCACCGCCTGACCTGCCGCTGAGGTGGGGCTGGGGGCTGGCCCTCTCTGGCCTCCGTGAGCCCACCCCTGGCCATCATCGGGGCATGTCTGTCCCCTGGCCATTTAACCCCAGCCGGACCGAGGGAATGGTGGCCTGCCGGGCGGAGGCTCTCCTCTGGGTGGGCGGCAGCGTGGCTGTGTCCTCGCAGTGGCAGCTTGGCCCACTAGGTAAGGGAGCAGCCCTGTCTGGTCATCGGGGGCGGGGCCGGCCTGCTCCTCCCTGGCTAGAGCCCCGCCCAGCCCCCGGGGTCACTGGGCTCAGGGGATTGGGGGGGGCTGCTCCTGGGGTTGTGAAAGGCCTGGTGGCTCCCACCCCACCTCCATGCAAACCTGTAGCCTCCTGACCCCTTGGGTCTCCCTCGGGGGTCACGGGGCTCCGGCAGCGTCCCCCGGTGCGCCTCTCTGACCCCCCGCTCAGGGCCTGGAGGCTGAACCCCAGGCAGGCAGTGGGGAAGGAAGGGCTGGGGGAGTCAGGGGTGAAGGAGGGGCCGGGGCCACGGTCCTGGTGGATGTGCGGCTGGACACTCCCTGAGGGGGTCCCTGTTACTGTGGGGGGCAGTGGCACCTTCCGCCCAGGTGTAGTGAGGCCAGCATGCTGGTGCCAGACGTGTCGGCCCTTAGAGGCCGGCAGAGTGCCCGACACCGCGGTGAGACTCTGGAGGGTAGAGTGTCTGTCTTGGCGGGGCCCCTCCGGCTCTCTGTTCCAACTGGCAGATGGGGCCTGGCCCAGGTACCGCCTTCCAGAACCTGGTTCTAGGCCTCGGGGGCCCGCCCCTGTCCCCATCCCTGGCCTCCCCCCTCCCACCTGCTACCTGCGTCCTGGCAGCCATACCGTGTCTTTACCTCCCGATGTCTCCCCTGGAGCCCAGCCTCCCTGTGCATGGCTCCCCTCTGTGCCCCCCACCCAATGCCTGCAGTTCAAGGTCAGAGGCTGGCTTCCTCTGAGAAGTCCTCACTGCCTGTTCCCTCGGGCTGACAGTGCCCACGGGCCTCCACACCACCACCTGAGGCTCCTCATCGGGGCTGGGGGGGGGG